TTCACCTCATAGACCGACCAATGTGATGTGTTGCGTAGACCTACCACCTGATCATAGCGGTGAAGTAAAACCTGAAGAGCTTGATGAAAACGTTCAGTGGGTATAGGTCCTGTGATACCAACTGTATATATTCCATGGGGTCCTCACGCGATAGAGCATCCCAAAGCTGCTGCACTAGCTCCTGAACTGAAAGCTGACCAGGGACGTCTGGAAAGGTGACCTTGGTGAGCTCAAAGATAAGGGCGCCGAAGACCGTGAGGAGGGGTGCTGCCCATGTGCGGAAGAAGGAAATGATTGGTCTCGCTTTGAGCCAAGGTCTTTGGTCGGTTTGGGTAGAATGCGAGCCGTGGGCAAAGGTGCATGAAGTCGAAGTCCCCACGCATAGCGATGTTGTAGTCGAGCTGGTATCATGGTTACAACTTCGGCGCGAAAGGATGCAGCAGACTCACGGCACAGCACAAATACTTCACCTGTGCAAAAGGTCTTGTGCATCAGCATGGAAAACACAGACGGGCAGATCACATGAGCACGCGAAGGGAAGTGATCCGCTGGAATGACAACCCACGATGACAGGGCGCGAGCGGTGTGTTGCAATGACGCGGAGGTCCAGTGAGCACGGCCTTGGACATTGGAGCGATGTGCAGCAAACAACTCCGTCAGAACAGGTTGATAGTCAGTCGTGAAGCTGGATCTTTGCACTTGCCATCGGCGAGCCAGCTTGCGAAGCTGCATGTCAACACGTTGTTGAAGTTTGTTGGTATCACCAAAATATTGATCCTTCATGGATGCTGCCATGATGTCAGAGTCAATGTCAGCGTTGATGCGTGAAAACTCATCCAAATCACTGCATGAGAATGTGCGCGAGAAGTGGTGCGGTCGTCCATGTCAATGCAGCGACACGGGAAAGACGTATCCGGAGTCCATCTTCGCTGCCACTTGCGGTAGTTGTAGATCCGGTCTCCCAAGGTGGCACTGCGAGTTTCCACAACCCGGATCTTCGGAAGAAATAAGGACGGAAAGAGGGCACGGTGAGATGCCACCCAACGCTGCAACCAGGTTCCAAGCTGAGCTTTCCAGTCTCGAACATGTAGAAGTGGAAGAAGTAGTTGTGTCAAGGTAGTTGGTACCTGGAGCTGTCGCTTACACAAGACCTGGGCGAGAAGCTTCTGAGCTTGGAGCGAAAAGGTTCATTGACAAAGGTGGAAAGCCGCAGGAAATTAGTAGAGTTGGGTGGAGGGGAAAGCCGCCGATAAAAGTTCACGCATGGTCTGAAACGACGCACCTGTATTAGATCCCAACCGATACAGAGTGGAATAGTGTGCTTGGATGCGATGCAGATCAGGATGTAGTCGTCGCCGAAACCGCGTGTGAAAAAATAATGACGTAGGCGAGGATAACGAATGACGCCGAAAGTCAATCAGATGTTCACGGAAACAAATTTCCGAAGAAGTCTGTGTACCCAGGGTGCATTTAAATGCGGGCGTAGCATGTACTGCCATTTGCTTTCCTGGATCCAAACCGAGGAAGTAGGAAGTTTGATCTCAACTGGAATCGCACAGAAAAGCCAGTAGTTGTTAGATCGCTTCCAATAGTGAAGCGCAGGTTCAAAGAAGGCATGTTGTTCCCGCAACAGTTGTAGATATTTGCGGCAACGGGGGTGTTCTCTGCGAAGAACATCCTGATCAGTAGCACCAATGTAATACGGACTAGAGAGTCTGATGTAGACGCAAGGCTGTTGATGGTGTCCCGGATCTTGAATGAAATCACACAGGTCCGGAAAACGAGACCGTAGGGATTTGAGGTGTTTCATATCAGCGAAAGTGGAGTGCATGACTTCACACAGCAATGACGCCTTGTAGAAGTGAAGGAGCTCAAAGAACGGTGGTACGTACCCATGGTTCTGTGAAATGAGTCGCTGCAAGAAGCAATTTAGGAGATACGAAGTGATCCGACACCTGTGGAGCTCATATCTGTTGGCAGCTGTGTGACGAGTACTTGACATGGAATGCATCGGTATTTGAAGTGCAATCCGAACCAGGGTGAGCACATCCAGGATGAGGTCCAACTGAGGTAAATGCTGAATCGATTCATACTCATCCGGAGGTGCCGTTGGTAGTTGAAGTCCAGGGAAGCAGCACCGCCCGCAAGCGGACAAAAACGTTAATGTGTCCAGAAAAGTAGCCAAGGAGTGCCATTGTGCAACGTCTTCAAATATCCCGCTGCGCTGAAGCTCAGTCCACATGATGTATGTCTGACCAAGTGCAGCTGCAAGGTGGCGGCGACATGCATTCAAGTGTGGCAACAAGTAACAAGCAACTCACAAGACAAGACAAGCAACTCACAAGTCATGACAAGCCCCAAGTCAAGTGCAGACAAGTTTTCAAGCGCAGATCACAACGCCGCAAAGTCGCCACTCCGGGCTCATATTTGAAAGGCAGATACACTTCATCCGGTGAGAAGTCGAGCTGCCACAATGAGGAGGCACAGCGCTTTGTCCGAGAGCTTGGTGGTGTAGCCTGGCTCCAGTCCCCACAAAGAGGCCATTGAAGCAAACGTAGGAGCATCACCTTTTGGCAAAAGTTGGCGCACCTGCAAGAGCTGAGCCGCCATGGGATCCAAATACTTGTTGCCGTTGAGACGGGATGGGTGGTTAGCCCACTTGATCAGCGATGGCACGGTAGTAGTAGTAGGAGCCTGCTTGAGGTATAAGCGTGGCTGATCACTGGCTCAGGTGTAGTGCTTGATGATGTCTTCCGGCGTGCTGTGCATGGTGAGCAACTGAGGTGTTGCTTGTTTGGAAGGCGGGGAAGACAGTCCGTGAAGAGATTGGATAATCCGAGGCTGCTGTTGAGATGGAACATCAAATGACCTGCCGTCAAGGGCCGCCGCACTTACCGTGGGTAGCGAGCTGGTAGGCGTCGAAGACTGTGAGTGATTGACCGGAGGCAGCGTGATTAGTTTTGCATCATTTTTGGGGATGTCATTGTAGAAGGAGGCGACGTTTTCTGTGACGCCGAGTACTGTGCCTGGAGCAACGCGTGAGCTCGTTGGAGATTCTTGTACTTCTTAAGCATCTCATCTTCTTGAGCATGGGGTGTGAGAGTCTTATGATGTTGCTGAAGAAACTGAAGCACCAGATTGCCCAAGTGATCGTGAACCTTGATCCGCTGATTGAAGTCATCAATGTTGAGTCCCAGAGAATTGGCTAGGCCCTTTTCCAAAGTGAGCAGGTTGAGTGGTTGAGATCGACGGAGCAACTTCGAACAGGTACTCCAAAGCAAGGCCTCGGTGCGGGTGCGAAATCCTTCCCACGTCACGAATCTCCCGTGAGCAAATGGCCTCAGTAGATGCCACCGTGAATGACCTGAACCAGGCGAACGTCCCGGATGTCCATGCCCGACATGTCCCGTTGCGTATTGTGTGGGGTGTTGGCAACCGTCATGGGCAGGCTGAAGCAGTAGAACTGGTTCTTGTCTAACATGCCGTCACCAGGTTGCCACTCTTCCGGCGGAGTAAGCCATGCTTTCTGAGGCTGCACTGGCAGCGTAGTTGGATAGCCAGGCGCTGTCGTTGTTTGGGAAGGATGAACTTGTGCGTGACCAGGAGGCGGCATCATCGACTTCACGGTCTTCGCCGGTGCAGGTTCAGGAGGGAACGGCATCATATAGTTGACCGGAGAGTGCGGATAGAGCTTCGATGACGAGGGATTCGGCTGGTAGTTGCTCTGCGTCATTGGAAAGGCATTGGGTGCGTTGTAGCTCGGATTGTGTTGCCAGGTCATCAGGTTGTTCCAATCCACGCCGTCCGAGACCAAGGGAGGAGGTGAAGATGGGCTCCTATCCCGTCTGCGCCGAGTTCTGGATCTGCCATGATCATCCCGTCGAGACATGGTGGCACAACAAACTCAACCCCACGACAACTCAATCTTGAGAAAATCGAATCCGACAAGATGATAGCCAACGAAAGTTCAAGCCAAGCAAAGATCAACACGCGGTCATGAGGCCAACAGCATCAAGTGTGAGACTTCGCTATGATCTGACGGCTGTCTTCCCTTTAGTGAAACCTCGTTTCTGCTTAAATCGTGAAATTCCGCTGGACTATGATATGAACGAGGAGGTCAAATTTTCCGGCGAACCGGCCCGGGGTCACACGATGGGTACACCCGAGGTTCCCAAAATTGTGGTAGCCACACTTCAACTCCCAAGGGAGGGTGCTAATCCTTCGAGTACAACTGATGAGTCTCGAGTACAACTGATGAGTCTCGAGTACAACTGATAAGTCTCGAGTACGATGAGTTTCGGCTCGCAAGACGCTTGGCTTTCCGGTAGAATCGAAAACGCTACAGAAGCAACAAGAAGCACTTACAGCGGCAAAAGAAGAGGGCCAAAAGGACTTTCAGAATCCCTCAAATGTTGCAGGTACACAAGGCTGATCAGGCCTTGCATCCCCTCCAGTGATGCAGCTTCGTTGGGCAAGGTTCATCACTGAAGGCGTTGCCCCCCTGCGGTTGAAATCATAAGCAATTGTGGTGGCAGGGTATTCTGCCACTCCGCACACACACACACACGCACACGCACACACGCACACACGCACACACGCACACACGCACACACACGCGCACACGCGCACACGCGCACACGCGCACACGCGCACACGCACACACGCACACACGCACACACGCGCGCACGCACACACACACGCACACACACACACACACACACACACACACACACACACACACACACACACACACACACACACACACACACACACACACACGCACACACGCGCACACACGCGCACACACGCACACACGCATACACGCACACACACGCACACACGAACACACACGCACACACGCACACACGCACACACACACACACACGCATACACGCAACACGCATACACGCACACATGCCCACACGCACACAACCGCCCGGTAACATGCATCTCCGCAAATTCGTCTGGAAGAAAAAAGTGTCTCGCGTCAGGACCCCAGCACTTGGCGGATTGCTTCACTGGATCCTCGCGCTCCATCTTGCCTTGCGACGAATCCAAAAAAGGATCTACTCGCGCTGTGCCAACCACGCGGCCAAAAAAGAAGGAAAAGCAAACTAAGCAAAAGAGCAAAAGGTGAACAAGCTAACTTCAGTTTAGCGACGACCAAACACGGAACCAATCAACCAACCAACATCGCCTACAGCAAAGCACCAGTGCGCGTGTGCTTCTACGGCCGCAGATCGGCTCGCCTAATTTAGCACCAAAGCCACGCTTGTTACTATCTGACGCCTGGGCACTCACAAAGCAAGGCAAACTTGGCTATGCAAACATGTTGCTTAAGTTGCGTAATTCAGAAGCGCAACACCGACCTCTCAATACATCCAGCGAGCAAAACCAGACGTGAACGGTTAACTGAACAATTCTGCCAAACAGCCAAGACTGAGCCGCCGTTCTGTCAAACAACAAGGGACCACGGGGAGAGCTTTGCAGACCATCATCTGCAAAAGGTTTCCTGTGGAATTACGTACATCAAATTGGGAAAGAAGATCAACAGAACTTCGTAAGCTGAGCCTGGCACTTGTACTCGACCTTCCTTTGTCACGTCAAACAGATTTCCCGCCTTGGACGATGACCCGCTGGTTTACTCTCTGTGGCAAGTCCTTTCGTGGTGCTGCGGTGGTCTGCCGATGGTCCTGGCGGCTCCGCCCATTTGCGTGACTTGTTTAAAATGTTATGTACACGTTCATCTAACAAACCTGAATACTTGTGCCTCACCAAAAAAAACTTGTGTTGCTGATTTGCGCGCGAAAGTAGCAAAGGCTCGTATCACACCAGTGCTGTGAGGAACCCCAATGTTGATCTGGGAATGGGGAACCCAGAAAGCACAATATGGTAGACCAGCTTTCTGGGAAAGCACAATTTCGTCAAAAGTGGGCAAACTATGACACGTGGCCTTCGTGCAAGCACATCGCTGGGTCCTTCATCGGGATGGACCGCGACAGCGTCACTGCCTAAAGAAATGGAGAGCGCAACGTATAGCACCAGTAGATCCAACTACTTCATAGGACTCTCAATTAGGATCCCGCCCACCGCCCTGAGCAATGAATAGTTTTGGCTTGTCAAGTCGCTTTCCACAAAGATTAGGCGAGGCGCCTGGCCGCCAATTTCCAGAGTCTTCTCGCTGGCGAGCACCGCCTGCTTGTGCGCACCCCCCCCAACCCAAGCTTCTTCATGTCGGTTCCAAGTGCCAAGATGCTGTCGATGGCCACTTTCCTCCTGTTCAACTACCCGGCTACCCGATGCCCTGTTGACCCGGTCCAAAAACACCTCACATGCCAAGGCAAGCCTTGACGGTGTCATCAGAGGTGAATTCAACGTAGGCGTAGCCTGAAACCGAAGCCAACCAAGATTTGAGCACCTTGACAGCACCCCAAAAAACATGGAACTGCAACTGCTTTCCCCTTACAAGCATGCACAAACTAGGCCCCACCATAGCATTGAGTGCAAGCCCCTGAAATCCCCTGAATGATGCTCCTGTCATTGCAGTTGCTGAGCTGTCATTGCAGCGCTTGCTGAAAGAACAGCCAAAGTTTTGCTCTCAGGTCCTGGCCTTTGTGCTCCTGGCAATTAGCGAACTGGGCAAGCTGCGCATTTCGAGGGGCCTCTCAAAGGTACTTTGGGGGTGGGATGGGGTAAGCCCCGAACTGTTAGAGGATCATGTCACTTTGAACCCATGCGGGGAAATGGGAAAGGAATTGCGGCTGTATGGAAACCTGTCGCTGTTGCAAAGCGGGCAGCTCAATGGTGGCAATAAACGTCACTAAATGCAGGCTACGTGACATTTGGCCATGCCTAGCTTCCAATGACTGCTGGTGGCGTCATGTTTCTCCACAAAAGGCCAGCCAGTCCTGAACTAGAGAACAAAAACTAAAGCGAGCAACACTCTGCAGAGCCTAAAAGTGTTTCTCGGAGATTGACGATATTTTGTGGTTGAATTCACTGACATGTGGGTATGGGCTTTAATTAGGTTCATATCCACCAGCCACTTTGGAGGGGGTCCGCATTTTAAAACAACTCGCATGCTGGTTCTGTTTGTCTGCGTGTGAGGTCTCTAAGTGTGTGCCGCGTCCTTCTCGTTGGCCCGCGGCATTCGCACGCTCACAACCTCAGCCATAGGGTTGTATGGGCCATACACACCGAGACCCAGCCGAAATCGAAGGCTGGGCGTCGCCTCCGTCCGAGCGGCTTCGACTCGTCTGGGCTTCGAACCTCGCCCTCGAAGGCGTTCTTCACCTCCTCTTCTGTGGCGCTGCTGCCTCGAGCACTTTGAGCCGTCGCAGGGCAAGCCGAAGCCCCTACCTCAAGGGTAAGGGAAAGTTCTCGCCTGCCCCTCAAAAGGTATAAACAGGAGTCCAGGCCCCCAATTCCATTTTGAGGGTGGGAAATCACAAGCACCTGAGACTTAGGGCGCAGGCCGATGTTGCGAACGAAGACCACCTTCTCCTGCACCAATCTCCCGCAAGTCTTTGGCAAGAAGCGTGCCAACAGCATGACGGGCTGATGCAGTCGGTGAAGCAGAAGTCTCCGGCTTATCAAGAGGTGTGCTGGACCATGCTGCCACGTTTGCGCCAAGGGCCTCCCCGACCACCACAGAACCCTTCAATCAGAACCTCAAAGGTTCTATGAGTGCACAAGGCCCGGCACAGACCTGCAAAGACTCACAAGGCGGCGCTTCCAAGCAATGCCCAGGTAAATCAAAGGCGTTCCCATATATGAAGGGAAACTCGTCTTAAAATGAACTAGCATCAGACAACAAGAGAAACATGAAGGGGCCCTGTGGAAGGCGTGCTGTGCTTCACTGGTCCCCAACCGACTCTCCACATCCCCGTAAGCAACCATGATTCGAGCAATTCGCAGGAAATATTCGAAGCTTAACCTAGAATGTAAAAATGCGGGCCAGCAAGAAAGTGGTGATGTGTGTGTGTGTGTGTGCGCGACTATAATCATAATCGGGCTTTACCGCATCTTCGCTTGCGAGAGTTCTCCATTTTGCACCTGCCACCCTACCACCTGGTTCAATGTGGATAGTTTGCTCCATCCACAATAAGATGCCTTCCACCCCAAACCCAAACCGCCACGGGCAAATGTAGAGATTCAGAGATTCTGAAGCCCGACATTAGTGGCCTGCGGCTGTTTGTCTCCATGCAGAGCCCCCTGCGGGAAAAACCGTGCGCCTCGTAGAGCTGCTTGGTGGGTAAAGACCTGGCCACCTTCATGGCCTCTGGCGTCCAGTCCATTCACGTGACTCAAGTTGCCCTCTCAAATGGGGCCAACATCTTTAAAGGGGACGTGTTTCTTTGTGAAGGGAAACCACCAATGGCCCTCTAGATGGGTGGGCTGGGGGAGGACGTTCTCCCCCTTTGAAGGGATACCCCCCAAAACAGCAACTTTGGGGAGCCTCAAAACCGCTCATGGGGCGCTAAGGCCGTGGCCCGGTGATTGACGAGCTGACCTGAATTGGCTCAACCGTCCACAAACCACACGAGACTCCGAATCGACTGGCTCCTCCTCTGACAGGCTTTCTCAGCAGTCTGGCAGAAGGCCTTCCCTGGCAACGCATCTACCACCAATGTAAGCGCTTCGGCGATCCTGCAAACGCAGGCCTCACAAGCCTGAAGCTAGTCGCCAGTGCTGGCTTTGCTTCATCTCTTGCGTCCGTTGCGAGCATGCCCCAAATTGCCCGACAAATACGCGCGCCGATTTTGGAGGCTTAGGCTTGCGAAAAGGGAAAACTAGGAAAAACACCCAGGTCTCCGGACCTTCTGTCTCACTCGAATGGGTTGGCCAGCCAAAATGGAGCCCACCACAAAGTGACGATTTTGAGACGCACCCAGATCTGGTTCTGGCGCCCGGAGCCCCAGGGGCCTCTCACTGCGTTGAGCCTCCAGCCGTTGAATTTCTCGACGGCCTCTGCGACCCGCTCGGGCGACTCGAAGTCGATGTATGCGTAGCCTGTCTCCCACGACTGGGCCCCTTGCCCGTAGCCCGTGGGGATCTCTGCAGCCATTCGATTTCCAACCACAGCCTTTTGGACAGTACTTGGGATTCTGGACATGAGAAAAAGATGGGAACCGAATCTGTTGGGGAGGGAGGGGGCTGGTTTTCACACATATTTCAATATCTCCGTCTCTTTTGATGGCGAAATCGCCACTTCTCGCCACCAACTGTGAACGACCCTGTTTCGGATTGATTTGATGTTCCCAGCGATCATGCGTCGCCTGTCATCCTTCCTTCGATCTTGCTCCCGGCGATAACCTAAGCTTTCACTATCTTCATGGCAATCAGCTGGCGCAGGTTCACTGCCAGTCGTCTTGTCGAAGCCTCCAAGCAACCCCGCAGTGAAAGCACGATTAGATCCTTAGATGGATAAACTTGCTGCTTCTTCCGCCAAGCCTTGTTGCGCCTGCAATTGGTACGTCCTATCTTGAGCGGTTGATCTAACAACATCATCAGCATCATCATGCTCGAAGCCAATTAAATCCTTAATTTAATCGCAATCCTTGTCACGCGCATGCTTCATCTTTCGGTCCTGACAAAAGCTGGGAGGGAGTGGCCAAGGCCTTACTACTGGCCACATTACTGGCTTCCAGAGCTTGCTACTCCGTGTGAAAGTTGCTTGGTGCTGGCTGAAAATTTGAGGGTATGACGCACGTGCTGAAATGAAAGTGTTTCTGTTGGGCAACACGCATTGCAACAAGGCCCAATGTGTCGGGCGCGTACCAGGCCGGCTCCGTGAATTAACAAAGCATTGGAATACCCCTAAGACACGCAAAGGGCACGTGCTGCGAAGCCCCCACGACACAACCAACTGCAAGCTACTAATGTGTGAAACGGGAACTGGGTGGCTTCCTTTTGGTTGAAACGGTTGAAAAAGGGTCCCCTCCCAAAGACAAGCATAGCATTGCACGGGAGTTAAGCCCCTGTTCCTCAAGGGGACTTCTGGTACGCACATACACACACACACCAAGTTGCACTGCCCCTCGCAAGACCTGCCTTTCGATCTCTTCAGGAAGTCTCTCACCAGGCGAACCTCCTTAAGCCTTGGAGCGCGATACAAAACGGGGGCTGTGAGCGTTGGGAACGTTCTCGGCGTTGTGTAGAAAGCGGGAATGAAATCCCAGCTTCTCCCAGCTTCCGTTTGTTTCTCCTTTATCTCTGTCTCTCTTTCTTGCCCCCTCTCGCTCCAGGGGCCAACCTGGGCCGCCGACCCCTCAACCTCGGCGCGTGCTTGGGTTTTGCCGACGGCTCGTGGATTGGGGTTACATTTTTGGTTTTCGTTTGGCCCACAAGCAATGGAGTCTCGCGTGTTGTTTTGGTCGAGTGACTGTTGGTAGTACCTCCGCAGCCAAGCGAGATCCCAAGCAGCACCACGCAAGGGTATGTCAGAAGTTCCAAACTGTGAATCAGCCACACTTTCGCAGAAAAGCATAACTGGGAAATAATTACCAGCTTGAACTCTAAAGCGCTGCAGTCCGCGATCTTTTTCGGGATAACACGCAGGTGCCTGTCCACACATCCTAAAGTTTCCATGCACAGCCAAAGCCAACGCAGCGGCTACCATCCAAAAGACAAACCTCACCCGCCAGGAGCTTTGCTGTGGAAGGCCCCCTTGGGGGAATGAGCCAGCAAAAGCCGAAAAAACCGGAGTCCCAACATCCAAGCACCAAACGTCGCTGACTAACTAAATGAAATGATGCTCCACCAACGGACCAAACGAAACCATACGAAACAGAACCTCGGCCCGGCCTTCCACAAAGAATCCCCCCTATGCAAGCGGAAACGGACGTGATGAGGCCCGGCCTGACTGAAGCCAACGAATTCGCTGGGCCAAACGAAGTCTCGACAATGAGACATAATGAGACTGACTTATTAAATCCCCTTTCAACGGCACTCACCCAAACGCAGGCCTGTATCACTTCTATAC